CATAGAATTACCATATTACTCAGCAGTTCCACTGTTCCACTGCTAGGTATCTACCTAAGAGAAATGAAAATGTGTCCACACAAAGACTTTTACATAGATGTTCATCATAGCACTATTCAAAATAGCCAAAAGGTAGAAACAACCCAAATGTTCACCAACAGATGAAGGGATAAATAAATTGTGGCATATCCATACAATGGAATATTATTCAGCCCTAAAAGTGAATGGAGTACTGATACATGCTACAACATGGATATTACCTCAGAAACCTTACTAAGTGAAAGAAATGAGACACAAAAGGCCACATTTTATGATTCCATTTGTATGAAATAGAATAGGCAAATCTATAGAGAAAGCAGATTGGTGGTTGCCACGGTTGTGGATAGGGGCACCGGGCCAACTGTTTAGTGGGCACAGGGATTTCTTTTGGGTGATGAAAATGTTTTGGAACTATTATACATATGTTGTACAACATTGCAAATGTACTAAATGCCATTGAATCAAACAGTTTTAAATGGTTAATTTTATGTCTTGTGAATTTCACCTTAACATAAAAAAGGGGAGGGGAACATGGCGTCATAGTTTGCCAACCCCTGTCTAAGCATTTGCAAATGCAAATGCCCGTTTCCGTTTGAAACAGCTTTTTTCCTGTCACCTGGTTAGCTCTTACTCCAGCTTAGGTGTCACTTTGGGAAGCCCTCCCTGACTCCCTGGTCTGGGTGCGGTAACAAGGCATCTTGTTCTCTCCCGTGTCGTGGCAGTCAGCACCCTGTACCACAGTCCTTCACATACTTGCCAGAAACCCTCACCATCTGTCCTGGAGGGAAGGGCCTCTGCTGCACTGTTTTCCTCATCCTTGGCCCTTAGCATGGTACCTGGCACAAGAAACAAGTGTGTGTGTTGAATCCTTGCCTGCTACAGTCCTCAGTGTGCCTTTACCCAAACTGGGCGCACGTAACACTCAGCAGCCCCAGGCAGTGGGCTTCACCTGGCAGGTGCCTGAGGCTTAGCAGCGGGTCACGGGCTGAAGGCCACCCACCACCCGTATGACTCCTGGGCCTGTGAGTGCCAGCCAGCAGAGAAGCCGGGGTCGGGTCTCTAGCCTAGACCTCGGGTGTTCTCTCTGCTCTGCCTGTTGGCCTTGGCTTCGATGTAGGCTTCTCCAGCTTTGGAACTCAAATGTGCTGTCATCATGTTGCTGGAAATCTTCCCATAGTCTCCTGGGGAGGGTGAGTTTTGTCCTGTCTTTTGATTTTCATTTTAAAATTTACTTGTTCATTTTTCTGTTAGAATACAGACCATCTATCTGATGGTTATTCCCTTATTTCAAATCCCTAGTCCCAGCCTCTGGCAACCATGGATATACTTTCTATCCCTATAGATTTCTCTATTCTTAGTATTTCTTGTGTGGAATCAGATAATATGCGGTCTTTTGTGACTGGCTTCTTTCCTTAGCATGTTTTTGAGGTTCATCCATGTTGTGGCATGTATCAGGACTTTGTGTAATAACTTTAACATAAGTCTGTGCAATACAAAAGTAAGATAGAAAAGATTTTTAAAAACAAAAATATCAAAGCCTTTGTTTTCCCATCTTAAGGAGATGTGAGTAGGTGGGGAATAGACCGAATTTTACCCACGGACTACATGGGCCTCACTCAGCAGAGATGATTATTTGAATGTTGAATTACAGGAGCTTGAACTGTTGACACTTTCATATTCCATTTCCTTAGCTTTTTGAGCATTTGAAATTGGATATAAATGTACTAAAATTCTTTGCTAGAAAATGTGAGTTCTAAGTTTTATAAAAGGTATTAGTTTATTGGCTTTTAGTAAATAAAATTTTTGCTACTTAGAGGTTTCAGAAAACATAATCTTCAAAATTAGCCTGTAATCTTATCCCCCTGATTTAACTACTGTTAACGTTTTAGAGTTTTTCCTCCAGAATGCATAAGTCTTATTTCCTATGAAAACATGCATACACATATATTTAAGAAATTAGGATTATCTGTCTTACTTTTTTGTAGTCTTATTTTTTTCCCTAGTTTATGCTGTCTTTCCACGTCAAATTCAGAGTTATATCATCCCCCTAATAGCTAATAAGTTTAATTTTTACTGGAGGAAGTATATCAGTGTATCAGATTTTCATTTTGGAAGCATGTTTCAAGAATTGTTTATTTACGTTCAATCTCTTTTCTCTCCCTTTCATTGCAAAATATCTTTTCTTAGCAAAACCGTGTGGTTGGGGCAATGCAGCTCTATTCTGTGGATAGGAAGGTTTCACAACCCATTGAAGGCCATGCTGCCACTTTTGCAGAGTTCAAGATGGAGGGAAATGCCAAGCCTGCCACCCTTTTCTGCTTTGCTGTACGTGGTCCTACAGGTGGCAAGGTAAGATCCACTCCACTTTGTCTTCTTCCTGAGTTGGTGCCGGGTGCGAGTGCAGCTGGGAGTAGGGCACGGCCTGCAAGTGCCTATGTGATCAAAGGCTCATGGCAGTGTGTAGAACCCCTCACCCTGATGGACATGCCGGTGGTTTGGCAGCAATGTTGGCATAAAGTTAGTAACCCGAAGTTGGCTACTGATTAATTGGCCCCTTTCCCCTAAAAAATCCTCTCAGACTGTACCGAGATGGGCCATAAAGGTGGGTGAGGCACAGTTTCTGTTCTGGGGCATCAGTCTCATGGCAGAGACGGCTGTGAAGTCACCAGTGCAGTGCCATCCTTGCCATAAGGCATGGCTCCATGTCACCCAAGGCGTGGTTCTGCACAGGTGGTGGTGATGGGGATGCCAGGGAGGCTACAGAGAGATGAGGCTGTGGCTGGGAGCGAGCTGAGTTTTATTTGGCTTGGGCATGGCCAGCACTGTTGGGCAGGGCTGCTGGGGCACCGGGTGGGAAGTGGAAGAGCTCACAGTGTTGGGGAGACCTGGGGTTCTGCTGGGGTTGCCTTGGTCACTGGGAGAGTGGCTTCAAAACAGAGTCCTATCCCAGTACACTCTTGTCAAAAACATTTCTTGAAATCATTATTTTGGGTTGTTCATTAGACCTGAAATATTCCCCAAAAAGAAGTCTAAATTAGTATGTGGCTTCCCACACATCCTTATCGGAAATACGCTTCTTGGAGTGCTTTGGTCTCTTGCAGAGTAATGTGCTTCATACCTTCCTTAGTTGCAAACCAGTAGGAAAGTATGATAGGAGTCAGGTCAGTTGTCAGCTTTGTTGCTGATAAGGCTGATTAAGGACACTGACTTTAGCTACATGGCCCTAGACGGCTTACCACCTCTTCCCAGACAGAACCGGGCAGCGACGGGCCTCCCCTTCAGCAGTAGCACCTGCCCCGCGGAGCTCCCTGTGGAGAAGAGAGTTCTGCAAAAGGAGCGGGTGGCAGCCCCAGAAAAGAAGGGCTCAGCTGTCAGGTGGGCCGCTCCCCTCAGGCGAGCAGGCGAGGCTGGAGGTGGGCCAGGAGGGTCTTTGTGGGCAGGCCCTTCCACACTCAGAGACCAGTGGCCTGTGAAACCAGTGCCCCAGCAGTAACTGTCCCGGGAGCTGCCCCATGTCTTCTTGTGTCTGAATCTTGCCTCCCCGACTGCAGGGACAAGTGTGGGTCCTGCCAGGGTCCTGCGCAGCCTGTGCCCCTTGCACAGACCTGCCTGGAGGACCAGCCTGGCAGTTTCCACCTGCAGAGGAGAGTTACCTGGACACAATTCCTGCCTGCTGACCTGCCCCGACGGCCTCCCCAGGAAGCCTGGCTTCCTTTCCCACACCTCCACTTCTGTTGGCAGCGCCACCCCTTCCCAGCTCCTGAGCAAGAAGCCACGGCTCTCAAGCGCCATTCTATTCTGCCATCACCGCCTGACCTTTAGCAAGCCTCACATCTGTCTTAGCCTTTTGTGGTAGACCGAGCCCTGTCACCTCACATTCGGGTTAGGAAGTAGCATTTATCAGGCCCTCAGACCCACTCCAACCTTTCTTACCAATAGGCCTAGCCAGAGAATTTTCCTAAACTACCTTTTATCTGTCTTCAAGTGGCTTTGTGTAAGACATCTAAGTCTCCCACATCGACACCCTCAGAAGCCCCCAGTACTTCTGCTCCGGCTCCCTTCCTGGCCCGACTCAGCATCCTCCCTTCCCTGCCTCAGGCCCCGTGGGTGTTTCCTTCCTCTCTGCCTGGCCGAATCCAGACTGTCCTCCAGGGGTACCCTTGTTCCTTTCCTCTGCAAAGCTACCCTCCAACACTTGTTGTTTCACGTCTCTCATCCACATTGTGATATTGTTCCAGACTTGTTTTAGCTTTGGTATCTTTGCACGAAAGTTATGGGGGGCCGGGCGCGGTGGCTCATGCCTGTAATCCTAGCACTCATGGGAGGCCGAGCCGGGAGGATCACTTGCACTCAGGAGCTTGAGACTAGACCCCGTCTCTACTAAAAGGAAAGGAAAAAAAACCAGCCAGGCATTGCGGCGCACGCCTATATTCCCAGCTACCCGGGAGGCTGAGACAAAAGGATCACTTGAGCCCAGAAGTTAGAGGTTGCGGTGAGCTACAATGACCCCACTGCACTCTACCCAAGGCAATGGAGTAAGACCCTGTCTCAACAACAGAAATAAAAGACAAGGCAATTGAACACCACTCCTTTTTAAAAAATGAAAAAAAAATTTTTAAAAAGAAAGTTATGGGGAAGGCATGTGTGTAGGTCGGGTACCTGGAGCTGCTACGATAAAGGCTGGGAGGACCCCTCATTTGCAGCTACTTCTCCCGATTCTACAAAGATTCTACTTCCCCCAGCATAACCTTGAAGAGCTCAGGCCTATGCCATGGTCAGATTGCCTCGTGAGTTTGGGCTTCAGTGATGAGATCTGGTCACTAATGGGCTTATGTGAGTCTGGGCTGTGTCCAGGAGAGCAAAGAGTGAAGCTGGAACGGACAGTAGATCCTAGCTAGAACCCTGTCTTTTATGGGCATTGGCGCCAAGGCCCAGGGAAAAGGAACATACGTGGTGACTCTGTCAACTAGACCTTCCCAGGCTGCCTGGCCTTGGCTCTGCTTGCTGGGCCTGGTGGTGGGCAGCGGCCCAATGAAGGGGTCATCCTGCTTAGCGTGAATGTGAGTTTTAGCGTTGGTCATGCAGCGCGTGGACCTGAGGCTCTGCTCACCTCTCTGTCTTGGTCAGCATCTGCCTGCCACCAAGCCATTTCCCTGTACTGACCTAAAGTCCCTCTTCTAGTTGCACAACATTGAAGTCGGACAGCCTGCAGCAGGAAACCAGCCTTTTGTAAAGAAAGCCGTGGATGTGTTCTTCCCTCCAGAGGCACAGACTGATTTTCCAGTGGCTATGCAGGTATGAACATGCTGCTCCGTAAACATCTTCATGTCCTAAAATACCCACTGTAGCACCTCCTGAGCTCCAGGAGGCCACATCTGCAGTCCACTTCTGTGTCCCCCTTCACCAGAGATCCATGACTCCTTCAAACCCATTTGGAGGCCTAGGACTTTGGTGTGTGGGCTGGACAAGGCCTGTCCATGGAAAGGAGTGCCCTTCGTCAGTCCTTTGTAGTTGAACCAGTTGGATGTAAAATATATCAAAGATCCTACTACTTGTTATATGAAAAAATTGACGTAAACCTTTTTTGAACAAAATTGGGATCACATTATGTATGTAAGATTATATAATCTCCTTTTTACTTTTTTGTCTCATAAAAATATGTTATCTAGAAATTTCCAGCAATGTCAATAAATGTAACAGCAGAATTAAGTATCAGCTGAAATCCTACCACTGCTAATTTTGACCACCCCTTTGGAGGTAACTTCACATGCACATTAGGTACAAATAGATCCTTATGAAAATGGCTTTGCAGTAGCCTTGCTTTGTGACCGCCTCTCACCATGTTGTAGATCATTCTGTGTCAATGACATACATGTATCTGTTTTATCGTTTGCATCATCTGTTCTGCAGATGTGCCGTAACTCATTTGAGCAATCCCCTGTGGTGGGCATTTATGTTTACAATAAACACTTCCAGGAGTATTGTGTCCGTTTATCTTTGTACGTTAGTCTGAAAGTCTGAGAATGAATTCCTAAACTTGAAAGTGCTGGGTCAGGAGCATGTGCATGTCACAGGCTCTCATGACCACACCAGCCAGGTCACATTCCTGCCAGTGCTGCTTTGGTAGCTGGACAGTGTCTGCTGGTTTCCATGTCTTCTCCTCGGTTACTGTCGGGGAGATTGGGTTTATCAGCCACTCATATGCATCTGGCTAATTGCCTCTTCCTAATCTCCGCATTTTTTTCTATTGGAATCTTTATCTTATCTGTAAGAACTCTTTGTAGTTCTAGTATGCTAAGCGTCTGATATGTTTTGGATATTTTTCCCAGTCATAATTTGTGGTGCATTCTACCTTGTGGAAGTTTCGCGATTTTGTGTGGCTATGGTATCATGTCTTGAAAATAATTCTGTACTGCAAGATAATTGTAATGTTTACCTGTATATATACACATATATATATATATATATATTTTTTTTTAATTGAGGCAGGATCTCTCTGTGTTGACCAGGCTGGTCTCGAAATCCTGGCCTCAAGTGATCCTCCCACCTCAGCCTCCCAAGTAGCTGGGATTACAGGTGCACACCACTGTTCCCAGCATATTTTCTTCTATTACTCTCTTAATTGTATTTGTTTTTTTATTTAAAGTCTTTGGCCCATCTGGAATTTACTTTGATCTAAAGAGTAAGATAGAGATCCAGTTCTTGCCTTCACTCCCTATCCCCGGATATCTAGCTGATTATGTTCATTGATATAAAGTGTCTGTTTTCCACTGATAGGTTCCTCTTTCTCATTTGTGAGCTCTGTTGTCCTACTTGCCATCATCTCACTTCTCTAACCTGTTGTTCTGTTCTCTTGTAGGTTGGAGCTAAACATGGTGTTGTTTACTTGATCACAAAGAATGGCTATCTTCATATGTATGACCTAGAGTCTGGCGTATGCATCTACATGAATCGCATTAGTGCTGATGCAGTCTTTGTAACTGCTCCACATGAACCGACCTCTGGAATTATTGGCGTCAACAAAAGGCGACAGGTATGTAACTGAGATTTCGTTTTACACGTTTTCCATTCACTAGGAGCTGGCTCTTAAACTTTCTCCCCTTTCCTTCATTTCCTCACCCCCTCCGCTTCAGACAGCACATTCCTAACACTGGGTTGGTTCTGAGAGGGCAGCTCCTTCCTTCATGGAGTTTCTCCCAGTGGAGCAGCAGTTCCGGTGCACACCACACACATCTTCGTGCCATGTGCATGTGGACTGGGGAGGATGGAAAAAGCAGATACTATGGTAGTTAAGTTACCTTTCTCAACCAAAGCTTTAAAAGATAGTTAAAAGAAGAAAATCTCTGCTTAAAAAACAGTTTGAGGAAAAAAAATTGTCAGTTCCATGAAAACAAGCCATTTCGGCATAGTGCGAATGCGTCACTGGGGTTGTTGTCCACGTGATGTAACAATTCCATAGAGGCCCGTGCTGACGCCGTGCCATGCTGTCTGCTCTGTCACAGTTACCCACGCTCAGGGCCCACCTCGTAGGCATGCTCACCACGAGCTGAGAACGTGGTCGCCCTCCAGCGTCGGCAGGGACCAAGGCAGAGCAGAGATGTGGAGCTCCGCTAGGCTGCGCTGGTCTCACGTGGCGGGTCCTTACAGGTGCTGTCCGTTTGTGTCGAGGAAGATAACATTGTGAATTACGCTACCAACGTGCTTCAGAATCCATACCTTGGCCTGCGTTTGGCTATTCGTAGTAACCTGGCTGGGGCAGAGGAGTTGTTTGTGAGAAAATTCAGTACCCTCTTTGCATAGGGGAGCTACGCTGAAGCCGCCAGAGTAGCAGCATCTGCACCAAAGGTAATGAAACTTGAATACTGTTCAAGTGTTCTGAAGTTGTAAGAGCCAACTTTGAAAATGAAATAAGCATAAAAGCATTTCACTGCCAATATCGGAGTATATTAGTGTTAGGGGTTTTTTTGTTTTTTAGTTTTAAAATTTTATACCAATGGCATAACAGTAATAGAAACAAACAAAAAGCACAGTCTTGCTGCACTGACATTCTTTTCCCTGTCTTCCAGTCCTTGTCTGTGTGTGTGCATACTACCCAGCATCTTAGCTTAGGTACAGTTTTGCATTTTTGTGACTTAGAACTTTCCACAGCTGCTACCTAGTTGCATCCAGTGGTTGTACCCTTTTTGTTTAGCTACAATCCTACTCTGAACTTTCGCCACTCTTCTGGAGTAGAGCAATTCTGCTTATGGCTTTTCCCTTGGTTTGTTTCATTAGGATAAATTGTCCTGGGACTAGATCGGCTCCTGAGTAGATAAAGACTTTCAAATTGCCCCTCCTTGAAAGAATCCTTCTTGCCTTTCAAGTGATGGTTATGAACAAATCATTTCTAGTTTTCATCTGGGAATTTGAGTATTTTGAATTAGAATGTAATGGTAGTAGAACTTCACCACTACAGGACCAACTTAGAGGCCTGTTCTCACTGCAGCAGGCCGGGGGAGAAGTAAGACCCTACCTGTGAAGTCACCTGTAGGACCCGGACCCACCATACTCGTGGTCATTGTTGAAGGTTTGAGTAGTTGCCTTGGTAGAGGGCTTTTTGTCCCTGACAGTTAGCGTGGAATTTCCATTGGCAGATTTTATTTTTAATGCAAGCAAATTGAGTAAAGGGATCCCTTGTGATTATAGCAAAATGACCTGCATTTGCATTTATCATCAGGGAATCCTGCAGACAGGCGACACGGTGCGGAAGTTCCAGAGCATACCCCCTCAGCCCGGGGGCAGGCCTCTCCTCTGCTGCAGTACCTTGGGATCCTGCTTGACCAGGGTCAACTCAATAAACTTGAATCCTTAGAACTCTGCCGTCCAGTTCTCCAGCAGGGGCGCAAGCGGCTCTTAGAAAAGTGGCTGAAAGAAGACAAGGTAGAAACACTTGTGAGATCACAACCCCCAGCACAGTTTGAAAACTGGGTTCTCGGCTCCCTGCTCCTCTGGTCCTAGCCTCGCCCTGTCCTTTGGGTGCCACAGCTGGAGTGCTCAGAAGAGCTGGGAGATCTGGTCAAAACTGCTGACCCTGCACTTGCTCTGAGTGTGTACCTTCAGGCGAGTGTGCCAAACAAAGTGATCCAGTGTTTTGCAGAAACAGGCCAATTCCAGAAAATCGTGCTGTATGCCAGAAAGGTAATGCACACTGAACGATCCACGTCTCATAAATTACTCATTTGTTGTTGGGTGGTTGCCGATTCTGAAGTTTGTAAAATATCCTTCTATGTGAGTGCTCTGATGTGAGAGCATTGTCAGTGTTGCTATTAGCATCTGTCATTCATCGATAATGGTCGTATTTTATTCTCTTCTGTTTTTTATTATCCTGTCTTGTTTTTACAGTCTTTCTATCACCCTTCCTGGAGGCGACTCTCCTGTGATTTTATCTTGTTCTCTCCCTCCGTCCCCATCCCCCCCAGCACCCTGTGGTGTGTTAACTGCCTATTAATTTGGCGGGTTTCCAGGTCTGGCTCCCATGTCCTCCCTGCAGGCGGTGCTTGCACCTGGATGGGTGACTTCTCTGTGGTCTGCACTGTTTTTACAGTTAATTGTGCCTTCCACATACATGGAATCAGTTCATTTATTTGGATATCATGTTTGTTAGAGGGCTGGAACACACATAAGCTCGTTTCTTTGTAAATACTAGTTCAGAACAAAAGATGGAGAACTTCTTTTTCTTTTTTTTGAGACAGAGTCTCATTCTGTCACCTGGACTGGAGTGCAGTGGTGTCACCATGGCTCTCTGCAGCCTCAAACTCCTGGGCTTAAGTAATCCTCCTGCCTCGGCCTCCTGAGTAGCTGGGACTATAGGTATGCACCAGGACACCTAGCTAATTTTTCTGTTTTTAGTAGAGACGGGGTCTCGCTCTTGCTCAGGCTGGTCTCGAACTCCTTAGCTCAAATGATCCTCCCCCCTCAGCCTCCCAGAGTGCTAGGATTACAGGTGTGAGCCACTGCGCCCACCCACCCGGCCAGAACTTCTTTTTCTAATGCCTACGGTTTTTAGTTTATCTTCCTGGTTGGTGTTCCCTTGCTTCTAGGTTGGGTATACCCCAGACTGGATCTTTTTGCTGAGGAGTGTGATGAGGGTCAGTCCAGAACAGGGCCTGCAGTTTTCTCAGATGCTGGTGCAGGACGAGGAGCCATTGGCTGACATTAACCAGGTGAGCACAGGCTATTGGGAACAACTTTTTGTGGGTTTTTATAGCCATCAAGAAGATTGTCTTGGCTGGGTGCGGTGGCTCACGCCTGTAATCCTAGCACTCTGGGAGGCTGAGGCGGGCGGATCGTTTGAGCTCAGGAGTTCGAAACCAGCCTGAGCAAGAGCGAGACCCCGTCTCTACTAAAATTAGAAAGAAATTAATTGGACAACTAAAAATATATAGAAAAAATTAGCCGGGCATGGTGACACATGCCTGTAGTCCCAGCTACTTGGGAGGCTGAGGCAGAAGGATCGTTTGAGCCCAGGAGTTTGAGGTTGCTGCGAGCTAGGCTGACGCCACAGCACTCACTCTAGCCCAGGCAACAGAGCGAGACTGTCTCAAAAAAAAAAAAAAAAAGAAGATTGTCTTTCATTTGTTTTTCTGTTAATGTGTGTCTCGACTCTCTTCTTTGCTGTTAATCTTCCAGTTTTTAAAAATCTGGAGTACTAGGGGAGCTTGTCTTCTACTCTTTATTATGTGAACACTTGTTTACCTTTGATTCGAAGTGTCTTGGAGGATGTGTGTGGAGCTGGGAGGATCGTGTTTCTTTGTGTGGTGGTGGGTGGTGGCCAAATGACGTTCACAGTGGCAGCCCCTATCCCTCCCAGCTCCAGTTCCTGCCTCGTTGTCGCCTTCTGAGCACGTGGAGCACTCAGTGGCCCAAGCACCACAGCGAGTGCTGTCTAGTCACCCAGATGTTCGTCTTGTGGGTGTCTGGCTGACCTGGGTTTATGTGAACGTCAGTCTGTTTTTTAGTACAACCTACTTAGCATTTAGATTTAAGCACATGACAAGTAGTCTTCAGTAAACTGTTCAAGGGCTCTGGGTGACATATAGGTATGTAATGAAACTTGAAGAAAGGTAACAAAAGCAATAACCTGTCTGGAAATAATAAGTACAGTTATATTGGTTTTACATCTGGGAATTTGCAGATGTTTTAGAGATCATGAATAAGGGGTTTGAGCCAAATGTACTTAGCTCTCAACAGGAAAGAAGTCTTTAGTTCAAATCTTGATTTTATTTCATATTTTAAAGTTTTTTAAAATATAAACTTTTCTTCCATCTGTTTATAGAATGTACTAAAAATATATAAACTTTTGTACTTTAAATGCGAAAATATTTACACAATTACTAAATTTATTACCTATATTTCACCTCTTATTAAGGCTTATTAATTCTTTAAATTAACATCTATTTAACTTTAATAATTAGTGCTTAAGTTAATGTTAGTGTTTTCCCAGTTGTGTCTGAGTAATAGGATGATAGTATATGGGCTAGACACCAGGTATTGGCTGCTGTATCATTCAGGGATCTCCAAAGAGACAGAACCAATAGGGTAGATATAGATACAGAGATACGAGAGGGGATTTATTAAGGGAATTGGCTCATGTGATTATGGAGGTTGGGAAGTCCCATGACAGGCCATCTGCAAGCTGGAGATTTTGGGATGCCAGTATCATGACTGAGTCCAATTTTGAAAGTGTGAAATGGGGAGGTGGATGGTATAACTCTCAGCCCAGAGGCTGAAGGCCTGAGAACCCAGAGGGCTGCTAGTGTTAAGTCCTGGAGTCCAAAGTCAAGGGAGCCTGGAGTTCTGATGTCCAAGGACAGAAGAGTGCCCCAGCTCCAGGAGCCAGCGGGTAGGGAGAAGAGAGAGAGAGAGAGAGAGAGAGAGAGACAGAGAGAGAGAGAGAGAGAGAGAGACCTAAAAATAATGCTTTACTGGTTCTGTAGGTATTCCTTTATCCAACGAAGTTGACACCTGAAATTAATTAACCATCACACCTGCTGCTAGGACTTGATTAAGTAATATACTGTTAAGATTGCTTGGACCATTCATTATAAAAGGGGTTCATTCATTATAAAACTTAATCCATTCCAGTAAAGTGCTCTGTTGGTGAGTATGACAAAGGTGATATGATTTCACAGAACTATATGTTAACTATATGTTAATACATAATGGCCATAAGTTACATGAATTTTGATGATGTAAGAAAATGCAAAGGAAGGAACTAATTGTTGAATTTCTAAATGAGATTCTATTTCAGGAACTATTTCAATAGGAAAACAAAACACTGTTTCCTTTTAGTAAAGTGTAGCTTGGATCTGTTTCAGATTGTAGACATTTTCATGGAAAACAGTTTAATTCAGCAATGTACTTCCTTCTTGTTGCATGCCTTGAAGAATAATTGCCCAGCTGAGGGGCACCTCCAGACTCAGCTGTTGGAGATGAACCTGATTCATGCACCCCAGGCAAGTAGCATGTCTAGGCTAACACCAAGGGCAGAGTACCTGTCGCACCTCTGTGTGGGAATTGCAGACCTGAGCGCAGCTTTGGGCTGGGTTGTGCTCGTGCCAGATATTTATCTTTCTATTTCTCAGAGGGCATTCTCCATGAGTTTCCTAACAGGTTTTCCAGAAGCCACGGTGCAAGACTTTCATGGAAACAGTACACTTGGGCTATCATTTCTTCCTTTCTTCTTTGTTTCCATTGTGGTAACATATACATAACAAAGTTTGCCATTTTAATAATTTTTAGGTGTGTGATACAGTAGCATTAAGAATATTCACAATATTGTACAACCATCACCACTGTATATTTCCAGAACTTCTTATCATCCCAAACCTTACATAACTATGTAACTATTAAGCAATAACTCTCTGTCCCCCACCCCCAACCCCCATACCCAGCTCCTGGCAACCACCATTCTACTGTCTCTCTATGAATCCACCTATTCTAGTTCATATAAATGGAATCATAAAATATTTGTCCTTTTATCTGGCCTTATTCACTTAGCATATTAGTTTCAAGGTTCATCCATGTCGTAGCATGTGTTGGGAATTCCTTCATTTTTAAGATTGAATAATATCCATCATGTGTATATATAACATTTTGTTTATTCATCCATTGATGAGCACTTGGGTTGCTTCTACCTTTTTGCTATTGTGAATAATGCTGGTATGAACATGGGTGTACAAATACCTTGTTGCCGCCCAACCAGGTTCATTTACCTGCTGCCCAAGAGGAAGCCAAGCACTGAGTCAGCAGGCTTTACAGAGAAAGAGTTTTTATTCCACGTAGTGCATGTCTCGACCTGAAAGTTGCGGGGGACAGGTATGACCAGATCACATGGAGATGCTATTTTGGGTTAAATGTGGATATATACACAGGAAAAGGATTTAGAAGGATTTATATCAAGCTGTTAACCAAGGTTATCTGAGTGGCTAAGATTGTAGAAGTGCACTTTGTTCTTTATCTGTCTTCTGATTTGTTTTTTCTTTAATAATCACTTATTGTTTTTGTAATTAGGAAACAACCTGTTGATTATACTATTCTGTTACCTCAGTTTATTCAAAGCCACAAATTAGCTGCTGATCAGTGGGTCATAGTCTACCACAAGGAAATAAAAGTGCTGTTAACATGCTGTTTGGTGTTCTACTGGACGCCTGTGACTTGGTGATTATATATAACAGTTTTTAGCGAATGAGTTCAAAACAGAACCAAGCCCTGCTAACTCAGCAGACAGACCTATGGGCACCCACACCCCACAGGGAGGCAGCCTGGCTGAGCAAGCAGCTAGGCAAGGTACTGACAGGCTCCAAGCACAGCGCCTAAGTGTCAGGGCGGTCTTCTCTGATTTCTTTGCTTATCTGTGTTTTCTAACTTCTGTAAAATACACTGTTGCTAATAATAAGGGGGAAATGTTTGAAAACAAGAGAATAGGAGGGATAGATCTGAAGGAAATAGAGGATATGGGAAGCAGGTGAGTGCCAGATGTTCTGAAGCTCTATCTCAGGACTTGGTTTGGATAGTTTAGTCTGTGGGGAGCCCAGAGTGTGCATGACCCTGGAACGGTATAGTGTTTGACTGTGGCTCTGGTCACTCTGTATTTGACCAGTACTGCATTTATTTTATTTTATTTT